GTATTCATTGAAAACAAATGGAAATCCAAATGAGATATAGCTCGAGAAGAGCAAGGTATGGGGGCTTTGTGGCAACTCCCAGTTTAGGGAACTGGGGAAGTTATAAAATCACTGGATAGGGGTTTGTAACCTTGGTCAACATCGGCTTGGGAGGGCATTTAACAAAGTCTGGGTGTCCAAGAAGCTACAGAAACATCAAGGGTTATTATGATGAAAAACATAAAGTCTTTGATTTGATTAATACAGTTTTGATGCAAAAGTTTTTGTTTTATACATTTAATACTTTAAAAATAATGATAATAACTTTTTGGGCTATCACAGAAGAAATGCAAAAAGAAAAGGTACAATTTAAAGCATAGATCAACAACAAACACTAGCATAAACCATAAGGCAGGGTAGGTAATATCAATTACCTACTAGAGTATAGCAAAAAAAAACTACGCAAACAAAGTCTTGGTGCTTCTGTCAATACTTTATGTCCTGCTTTAGAGATTGCTGTCCTCCTCATTGGTCATAATGTCTAATCCCACATTATAGTTCTACCTTTCACTCCTTTTCTACCTATGAGTCTGTTCTTCCGTAAAACCCTCCATAAGCTTTCACAAGATTCTCTTGTGTTTTCAACTCTAATGACATACAAAAGTATACACGCTTAATGGACCAGAAATCCAACCTTACTAAACACTTGTTTTGCTACTTATTATGCGAAAACTTTCTTCATCTAAAAGAATTTACCTTCATGTATCTAAAGAAAACCCCTAGGGTGTTGTAAAATACATGAATAACTAACTTAACTGCCGTACATATTAGATAAACATTAATATTGTCAAGTGAGAGCCTTGACTTCCTTGCATTTCAAATATCCCATTATTTGAGAGAATATCTTTAAGATGATTTTTAAAATATACTGTATTTTTGGAGCAATTTTAGGTAAACAATAAAATTGCCTTCAACATGTTTTTATGAAAAGAAATTCTTTAAAAGACCACCTTATAGACCTCAAGTTAATGTAAGACTATGTAGGACATTTTAATGAATTGACATTTAATTGTTGGCATTTGACTGTAATTAAAAGACTACAAAAACTAAAGTCTTTTGGAATAACAATATTTAAGAAGACTTACAAAGCTAGCTACTGCTAAGAATTGTGCCTTACATCTTCTAATTCCTTATGCACTTATGAAATGAAGAACAATTGTAAAATTAAAATTCTTGCCCAAGATTATGTTGTTATGATCATGACTAGGATACTAGAAATAACTGTTGATCAGAGTCATTGCAAATGTGAAGACAACACTTTAAAATAAACAGCAAATATTAGTCTTTCTTTTGTCAGGTATGTGCTATGTGTATTGAGCAGAACAGATTTTTTAACACTGATACTGATTTTTTAATCACTGATACCTATTGTTCTCTAGTCATGAACATTCATCATTGGAAACATAAAGTAGAGGTAAAATAAAATCACCAATACTGCTTGTTGGTAGAAACGGTGTCTTCTATTAATGTAAAATCCCTTTATTAAGCTTAAGAGAACGTTATATGTACAAATCAGTGGCGTGTGCATAAAAAGTTAACTTTATTATCACCTCTATCAAAATATCTATTTTTTGGCTGGGCACGGGGGTTCATGCCTGTAATCCCAACACTTTGTGATGCTGAGGCAGGTGAATCACCTGAGGTCAAGTGTTCCAGACCAGCCTGGCTAACATGGCGAACGCTGTCTCTACCAAAAATACAAAAAATTAGCCGGGCATGGTGGTGCACGCTTATAGTACCAGCTATTCGGGAGGCTGAGGCAGGAGAACCACTTGAACTGGGAGGTGGAGGTTGCAGTGAGCCAAGATTGTGCTACCGCACTCCAGCCTGGGTGATGGCGTAAGACTTCGTCTCCTTTTTTTTTTTTCTCTTACATTTTGGGTAGATCTTGCAGTGGCTTAAGAATCCACCCAATTAATTAAAGAGAAACTAAGTTTTTCAAAAAATAAATGAAAGCTACTATTTAGGAACCTGGTGTATAATGAATAAAATTACAAAAAATCTTGCCACATGACATGGTATGATGAGTGTTACTCATATACATTAATATCGTGGTAGCTTTCAAATACCAGGACACTCAGAATCATTGAGCTTTCAATAGTAATAACCCATTCTGTTAGAGTCATCAAATGCATTGTGTTTGTTCAAACACTGGAGACACTAATAGAGAATAATTTGCCTGATTAAAAATAACAGTAAGTCAAACATTACTATTGTGAATTGAACCACATTGACACTGCCATTTAGAGGAGTCATAATACATTTTCCTTAACTGATTTGCAATTTGTGAAAGATCTGGAACATGTGTATGAGGATTGTACACAATACTAATAGCTATAATCTACTGAGCACTTATTATTTCCAGGCAAAGTGCTAATTATTTAAAAAGCATTTAGTTATTAAAGCTCCCCTATGGGATCAATAATATAACACTCATCTTATAGATATGGAAACTGAAACTCAGAGATTTTTATATAACTTGTGCCTGATGTCACATATGAGTGTGAGTGACAGGATTTAATTCTGATAGGTCTGACTCCAAAGCACACTATTAACCACCATGTTTCTCTCTCTTTACAGATTAAGTGTCTTCTAACTTTAAATAACAACATATAGTGTGTTTCCTAAAGGCAGGGGCTAGATGTTACTTAGCTTTTTTCTTAGTACCTGGCACAATGTCAGGTACTTTGCAGAATTACACAAATGTGTGAAGAATGAATACATAAGTAGATAGAAGAAACAAAGAACATTTGAGAGAACCAGGTATACCTTAATTAACTAGCTCTCTCTAATAACCAAAGCCTTATTAAGCAAAGTTTTTCCTAACAGTTTATATAAAACATCTGTACTATTGGTGCTTGTAGAAAGTATCAATGCCAGGCCTCCAAAGTATTGGTCTGGGTTGAGGCCTGGGCACTAGTTTTTTTTTTTTTTTTTTTGGAGATGGAGTCTCACTCTGTCACCCTGGCTGGAGTGCAGTGGTGCAGTCTAGGCTCACTGTAACCATCACCTCCTGGGTTTGAGTGATTCTCCTGCCACACCCTCCTGAGTAGCTGGGATTACAGGCGTGCATCACCACGCGCGGCTACTTTTTGTAATTTTAGTAGAGATGGGGTTTCACCATGTTGTTCAGGTTGGTCTCAAACCCCTGACCTCACGATCCGTCCACCTTGGCCTCCCAGAGTGCTGGGATTATAGGTGTGAGCCACTGTGCCTGGCCGGCACTAGTATTTTTTAAAGCTCCTAGATGATTCTAATGCACAGCAAAAATTGAGAATTATCCAGAGTCAGTATTAAATGCTTGAGATTCATAGGAAAACTGGTTTATTAAAGACTATGAATTTAAAGATCTTTATCTTAACACATAATTCATCTTTAACTACTGGATGCTGTTGGTTAATCGTAAGTAATGCACCATAATTACTTATAGGTGTATCTAGTTGTACACAATTGGGCTGTAATTGAGGTACTTAGACTATTTTACTGCCCTTCAGTAATGAAAGAACTTCTTCTAAAAGTTCCTTTTTCAAAATATAAATGATTTATTTTGAAAACTGAAGTATTGCCATGCACTGATTCTTTTGTAAATTCAGTTATTATTAGTCAATTAAATTTTACCTAAAACCATCTCATCACTTTGTAGGCTGCATATGAGCTTTAAAAACCTCATTATGATTTCTAGATTCTTATCTATGATCCTACAACACTCTACATCCAGGTCTCTTCCTTCTTACTTACCACTGTGAAGAAGTTCATTAGCAGAATGTAATGTTGTATGTTTTGAGTAACTTATAACTTTTTAAAAAAAAAAAAAGTAAGTAAATTTGAATGAAGTGTAATTTGTTTTTTATTCTCATAAATAAATCTTGTATCAGGAACTAGTCTCTACTTATTTAACAAGGAAAAGAGTATTAGGATTGTTTTCAATAACTATATAACTAATGTTATTGTATGAACCTTTACTTAGTATACAATTAGTTGAAGAAGTCTAAAATTTTTAACTAAAATATCTTGGAACTCTTTCCTGAATAAAGAATATTTTAGAATAATAAAAATAAGAAAGAATCTACTTTTCAAAATAGTTCTGGGATTTATGGATAAGGATTTGAGGATAATAATTAAAACCAAATATTGCATTTTGATATATAGAATATAAATACGGCTTAAAAATAAATAAAAATAGAAATTTTACATATAATTATGATATTACTATATTATTGCCAACTACTAATATGTAAGGAAGAAATTGGAAGAGTGTTACAATTTAAAACTCCTTAAGGAATTTATATTCCACATAATTGAACACCTTAAGAACAACTTTAAGTATGTTTGAAAGTATGACTCAAACTCCTATTTTTTAATGAGTTAATAAAAACAGGCAGCATTGCTTCAACAGTGATGTGTATACTCTCTGAATGACTTTAAAAAGATAACTGAGAACCTGACTGGTTGCATTCAAATTCCCTTTTTGTTTATATCTCTACTTCAAACAATATATAAACTCCTCCTTATATTTGTGTGATTGAAGCTTCTGTAACATTATTTTAAAAGCATTAGAAAGGCATTTATTTCATTGAACCAATCAGTTAATCTTAATAAATAGAAACTTTCTAGAAATCAAATGATTCGGCCCCTCTTTTTAAGATGTCTTAAAGACAGTATGTGAATAGCAGGAAGGCCACCAGTATATTCCAGTTAGGTAGCAAGTTCTTTGACGCAATTCTACTAGTTGTTCTAAAACAACAGTCAGTTTTTTTTAATGCTGAATTCAATCTTTTTTGCTGGTTTGTTGGTGTAGATATAGAGTCCATGGTGAATAAAGCAATGTTATTTACAAGTTTAAACAAAGGGCACCTCCACTGTAAAGCTAGCCACCAGCTAAAGCTACTGGACAAAGCTGTTATTTTCACTCCCATCTCTTTTTACCTCTTGATCAGGATACATAATATTGATTTACTCACCCTGAATGAATAGGACTGGAAGAAAGAGCCACGTTGTCTAAGTTCTCAGTGCCCCAGCTTAGGCGATAAGAATTCCTTTCTGCCTCCTTGGCTAGAGTTGACACCTAAACACAAAGAACACTGGATTGAATAAAAACACTTTGCTTCACTTAAAGTAAAATATAACGAAGTACAAAAAGTGGCATCACTGGAAAGTGGTATAACCTAGAAAAACTTCCACTTAAAAATAAAAAACCAATGTATTTACAATGAATCTTTTAAAATGCATTCTCTTTTAAACTGCATTATTTAAATAGATTATATAAGATTACATTCACATAATTGTCTTTGAAGAGAGTAGGTATCCATCTATTTCCCTATACCCAATCCACCAAAAGTGATAAAATCATAACTAAAATTAAAATATTCCAAATAAACTTTAAGCCTTTCTGACAGCTAACAATTTTAAATATTGAAAGATATAACTTAACATTTACCATTCATCTTATACCTTAAATGCACCCTACCTCACTTTTTCCTTTAATGGAGATTTTATTTTAAAAATATAATGTTCATATACAATCTCCACAGAAGAATTCAATATAGCTGAAGAAATAAGCAGTATGCTTTTTCAGAAAAACACTGCTCATTGAAAAAATCTAGTGAACATTTTTCATGTTTTAGGAAAACCTTCAGATCTCTTATGCTAGCTTGTCAATTGAATTAAGAATGATTTTGGGGGGATTAAAAACTTTCTCAGGCCATTTCTAGCATCCAATAATGTTAAAAAGCTCTCCAGAAAGCAAAGACATGAAGGCAAAATGTCACATACCTGGTGACTGGGAATCACAACCGAGTCATCCATCACGGCACTGTCCCTCAAGTAGGAGGCATGGCTCAGAGTGTGAGACCTGTCGGAACTGAAGGATCGAAGGCTGGTAGGTTGGCAGGAGGCCATGGCATATACCAACAGCGGTAGTAGGGTTGGGATGACAAAATGATGAGCCGAGCAGGAGAGTGAAAAAAGCGTGCTATTAGCTAACAGCGCAACTTCCAGGGGGACACAAGTCTCTGTGTTGTCCTACCTTTTTGTCCAACAGCTGAACTAACACATCCTTTGACAGGCTCCTACCGCTCAATGGCAAGAGCACAAGGGAATCCAGAAGTTAAAATTTGATACTCCTAATCTGATTCATTTTCTTCCCAGAAATGTTTGAAACCAGCAATTGTAGTTTATTACTGCCAGTACAAGAAATTCACACAGGAAATAATTCCAGGATAGATTGCTTAAATCTGTGTTAAATGTTAATCTCCCTGCAACTAAGAAAAATATTAGAGGAAAGTAGACAGCCCTCAGAGAGAAGAACAAAATGAAAGCCCAGTTTCATTTTCGCTCATTATTTTCCATTCTCTCTCCATACCTCTTTCTTCTCCTCTCTAAACTGTGAATGACTGAATGTTGGTGCATTCCCCTGGAAGGTACAGAGTGAAAAGAACTGTGGCCAGATGCATGCTTCCTGCGGAAGTGGAGTTCCTCTTGTTTGTCTCTGGTGACTCCAACTATGCTATTATTTCAAACGAGAGCACTGTCCCCTTTGCATGTCCTGTGTGTGGTGAGTGAGGCACCAGAGTGTTGGTTGCCGTGGTGATGAGATGCATGAGCACAAGAAACCGTTTCTAAGCTCCAGCTCAGAACACAGACACACCTGCCAGCACAAAGACAAATTGCCAATGGCCACTGACCAAAAATGAGGTTTGGCTTCAAAATGGGATTTAGGCCTTGATAAACCATGCATTACATTTTTGAAAAATCTGAATTTCAAAGTTCTAAATTACATACTCAAATGTAACAGGTAAAACTTGACATTTGCATAGATGCAATCTCATTCCTTTTAAATCAGTTTGTAAAATCAGATGACAGATTGATATCTTAAATAAGTTATATTTTATACACTGTAGTTCAAGTATTAAAGATCTGTGTTCAAAGTATTAGCCCAAAGCCCATAAGGGAAAAAAAGAGATACGCAAGCTTTCACAATATTTATAAAAGCAAACTTTCATTTACTTTTAGCTAGTAGGTGTTTGGCCAGTGAAGCACTGTAGAATTATGGACTAAATGTTAAATTAGCATATTTATTAGTATAAACAATCTTCATTTTGCAAGTATATTTAATTTTGTAAACCATGTACTATCCTATCTACGAGGTGTCAATATAGACCGCATCAATTGTCTTTGAGGAAATCATCACTTTGCAGGTAATTCATAGTAATCCAGGACCTCCTCCTTCTTATTTTACATGTAGGTATATTCCAAAAAAAAGTCTTAAAGGGTAAATGACAATACCCTTTAAGTATTGGGTATATAAAAAGAGTTGGTTGTCTGATCCTTGTGTTTATACATATATAAATCTGTGTTTACAATAAAACAAAATCTAAATATAACTTGAGAATTAACTATTTTATGTTATGTAGACTCTTGGAGAAGATTGAGGCTCTTGACAGAGCCTTAGAAATTTCATCAAGAGTTTTAGCTCCAGCATTTGGAGGCTACTTATATTACAGATGGCTTTACATTTAGCTTTTGATGGGGGTTTAGATTATTGGGAAAAGTTATCTCAGCAAAAGCTTGTCTCGGTGGAATCGATGATTTTTTTTCCTGCTGTAAATCACAAAGATAGCTAAGATCCACTTGGATGTGTTTTGTACCAGGTGGCACTAGATCAGCAACTCTTAAATTCTATTCACCTTTATTTTGTTTTGAATTTGGCCAACGAAGGGAAAATAGTAGAGGAGCCAACCTGTTCTATTTCTAATATGGCTTGTCTATGGGCTCAACTGTCTTCTGGAATAGCAGAAACACCGGTCCCAAAGGGAAAATGAAAATCTAGCTTGAATGAGAACAAACTGAATGGTAAATAATGGTACCTCAAATAAAACCTTGTGACGTGGCTGCCAGATTGCAAAGGTCTAAGCTTTGAAAGAATGAATCAGGTCTCAACTGCCATTCTCAAGGAGTGACTATGGCTAAGTAGACAACTCTATTTCAGGAATGTGGTATTAAAGAACCCACTGGGCTATGAAAGTAGAGTCACACTTTGCAATCAGTATATCAGTCATACACGTGAAAATCTGATATCAATTTAGTTGATACCTGAGTCTATCTCTCAATTGGTTTTGTACTGAGAGGAATAGAGAGGTGTTGGTGTTTTTTTTATCTTTCCTAAAACCCCGACAGGAAAGAAATACAGAGGGAGAAGAAGAGAAAGAAGGAGACAAAGTGATATATAACCACAAAAAATTGATTAGAGAGAGAAAGATATTAGGATATGTACACAGAGAGTGAGAAAAGTTGGACAGAGAGAGGAAGCAACAATGAATAAGTCAAAACCATATATCGGAGTGTCTCTACCTTTCTGTGGGTTGTATTCTAGCTTCCTCTACTTACTTATGCCTTCTGAAATACTAATTGGTTGTTTAATCAATGTGTATCATTTCTAACTGCTTTCTAAAAAATGATGTCGTGTAATCTACTTAAATGAAATAAAGATGGACTATTCCAACACCGGAGAAGTTATTCTCTCTAAAAAAAAATTCTCTCTAAAGTAATAATAACTAAAGAATTATTCTCACTAAAATATAACTGGCATGACAAAGGTCTGGAATAATTTAAGCCCTTGGATCAGAAATTGTTCACTCTGATTTAAGACATTAAAAACAAGTTTAAATATTTTCCAATACAGTTGCCAATTTTTCATTAAGTCAAGGGTTCTGCTATTCAGTTAATAAATGTATAATAACATAGCCATCGAAGCGTAAAGTTTTACTTGCTGCTCAACTAGGGGATGTGCTAGGGGTTTTGTTATGGTCTTAACTTATACTTTTTATTTTACTATGGTACAACTGCTTTATGGACACATAACAGGTGGTATGAAAGTGTAATTTTATTGAAAAGTATAATAATTACTATCTTGGTAAACTGTAGTATTTATTAAACATTCAATTAATGGAGTGGCAAACTTTACTGAACAAGTAGAAATCCACAATTTTCAATAAATTTACTTTAAAACATGAAGAAGCCTCTGTGGTTCGTCGTTATTTAGTGTTTTACATCGAATTTGGAAAGCATTTTTAGTTTGTAAGCTACAATAAAACAGACACGAAATCCAACTAATCATAACTTGGTTGTATTTGTATTTAATGTACATTAAATTGTATGTATTTGAATTCTTCCATATCTCTGCATATTTTAGGCATCAGAATATTTTTTCTATCTTCTCCAACTACACATAGGCTAATTGGGGTTGTTTGGGGGAAGCCGCGCTAATGTGTTATCAACCACAGGTGTAGCTGTGATTGTTGAAACAAAGCCATTCTTGGGTCATGTCACAGATTTTCATTTTAGTAATATATTCAACTCTTCTAGCTCAGCTACTTATTCAGTTTAATATATAAAAATATTTATTTTAGAATAAATCCATAATTCTAGAACATAAGCACCCCCTGGCAACACACACACGCAGGTTGAGCAGTGAGCAGGGAAATGTGGATAAATCTAGGAAGGACTTGTTTCCATGCTCTGTTAATACCTACCTGGGCATGGTGCTAGTGAAAGCAATTCAAATAAAGAAATAGTGCAAAGGAAAAAATGGTCACTGAGAAAAGGTAACTTATATTGAATTGCCTAAGCAAAATTAAAAATAAAAGAAGAAGACCATGAAAATGAGATGCTGCCTGTAATTCTATTTTGGAAATGGTGACTACATCTAGTGATCTAGAAATGCAAGTGGAGACCTGGAGAACACAGTATATCTTGTTTGCTTCATGTCCCCTGATCTTATGTGCTGAAAAGTATTGAGTTTAAGTAGGAGCATTCAAGCCATCCATCCTGTTTTATAGAAAGTATTATTCTAAATTCTTCCTCAATCTAAGTACTTTGAAAGAAGAAAAACAGATCAAATCAAGTACTTATTCTTAATAAGGGAGACCATGCTAAAAACAGAAGCTTTATTGTTGACAGTAATATGACTATTCATAGATTATCATTAATTTGTACAATGCCATAAACATTATACTTTATTCAAATTTGAAATCTTTTAAGAATCTCAGAGTATAAAGTCTAAATCTACCAATGTATCAAGACAGCTTATGGAACTCCAGAGGGGTTCCCCCTTCTGGGAGCACCCTTTATCTGAGTTATTGAAGCCAAGGAGTCAATTTAATCTCCTTCCCCTTCTTCACCTAACTCGTGAAATTCATCATGAAATCTGACTAGTTTTGCCTCCTACACATGTCTCAAAAAGCTCTCAAATTTTTTATTTCTGAAATTCTCTCCATGACTATCACCAAGGTTAGAGTGCTAGTCCTCTCATGACACCTGCAGTTAATACAAGCACAATTGCTTCTCAGAATGGTTGCAATCTCCAGGTTTAGCCCTTTGAAACTCTCCTTTAAAATTCATCCTCTTTCTCACTGGCAGAAGGATCCACCTGCTATGCAAATATAATTCCCGTCCTCCACACTTACACTCCAGCAACACTGCACTCCCTTTTTTCCCATACACCCTGCGAGCCTTTGCTCAAGACCTTGTTAAGGCTTCAAACGCCCTCCCCACATTTCCTCATCATTGTTACTCATCATTTGGTCTCAGTTTGGTTTCATCTGCTCCAGGAAGCTAGAGCCTCAGGGCTTCAGTGGCACTCTATGTGTACCACTAGCTTATGTCCTCTCCCATCTCATCAGGCTATGAAGTTAGCAAGCCTATCTTGCTAAAGAAAAAAAAAAAAAAAGATAGTGGAAGGGGGCATTGGTGCTCAAGGAAAAAGCCCAAGAAAAGTTTGCTTTTGCTAATTATGCACTTAGACTTCATTACTCTTTAAGGTATTTATTTCTTAGACTCTATGCTGGATATTCATAAAATAGCTTACAATAGTACCAACTTTAAAACTATAAACCTGAGATTATTGATTAGCAGAACACATTACACTACATGGACAAACTTACTCTTTTTTTTTTTTTTTTTTTGTCTTAAGAGAGTGTCTTGCTATGTTGCCCAGGTTGGACTTGAATTCTGGGGCTCAAGTGATCTTCCAACCTCAGCCTCCCAAGTAGCTGAGACTACAGGTATGTGCCACTGCACCCAGCTATGACATCCATATTCAAGCCTAACTTATCAGTCATACTTTCGATGAGGAACCACAGAATGTCATTACCTAACTTGCACAAAAAAAAAGTGCCAGTTGTACTAGTTAATAATAACAAAAAGTAACACTGATTATATATCTCAGAATATTATATAAACCTCCCAGGTTTGTCTATTAACGCTAGGCTCCCTCAGATTTTGCTCCGATTGTTTCTTGTATCCAGGCTCTCGTGGGATTCTGTTCGGATTCTTTTTCATGAAAAGTCAGTTCCAGGCAGTTTTGTTCTGAAAGTCTTTTTTTTTTTTTTTTGTATTTCAATAAAACTTTATTTATTTATTTATTTTTATTATTATACTTTAAGTTCTAGGGTACATGTGCACAACGTGCAGGTTTGTTACATATGTATACATGTGCCATGTTGGTGTGCTGCACCCATCAACTTGTCAGCACCCATCAACTCATCATTTACATCAGGTATAACTCCCAATGCCATCCCTTCCCCCCTCCCCATAATTGGCCCCGGTGTGTGATGTTTCCCTTCCCATGTCCAAGTGATCTCATTGTTCAATTCCCACCTATGAGTGGGAACATGCAGTGTTTGGTTTTCTGTTCTTGCGATAGTTTGCTGAGAATGATGGTTTCCAGCTGATGGTTTCCATGTCTGAATGTATTTCTTTTTAATTCAGCCGCACAACATATTTTATTCACAGAAACTATGTTCCTAACAAAAAAGTGGGGGCAGGAAGGTATTCAAAGTGTCTGTGATGCCGCTCAGTATGTCTATAAGGCAAAATTGTTCTTTTAATTTGAGAAAAAAGTGGCCAGTGATGAAAAACGCCACATTTAAATGATGAGAGTTCTTATTTATGATGGTTTTGCTTCTTACTAGTTGTTTGATTTTACCGAGTTATTTGATCTCTCTAGGCCTCAGTTTTCTGTTCTTTAAAATGGGCATATCTTAAAGTTGTTAGACAATGAAATAACATAACATTCTAAATGCTGAGATTAATAAGGTACCTATTAAATGTTCAATAATTGCATTTACATTTTTATCATCATCATAAAAAATATGTTTCAGATATTTCTGGCTGATATCAAGTATAAGCTTTACAAGATACCTGTCAGATCGTCCTCCCTCCAAGCTGTATCGCAGGTAATTCATACCATCCAGGAACTGACTGCTGGGTAGTGAGTCATCACCCAGTTCTTTTAGGTCCTCAGGCCTAAGGTATTCTCCCCCATCACCAGTCATTGTGTCATCACCTTGAAACAATCAGAGGAAGAAGTAGGATTATTTGCTGAATGTATGTCAACTACAAAATATGATCATGATTGTGAAATGCATCAACATCATTGCCTTGATATTGATGAAACTGCACTGCACACTAGAACACAGAACACCAGCAAACAACTATACAGTGCTAAAACTTAGAGAAATAACATTTGATTCATTTTCTTAGCACTTACCAAGAAGAAGTAATCACTTGAATTTTAATTCTTTTAATATTAAGTTTGGATATCCCTTGTTGTTTACTTCTAGGAGAAAAAACTTCTAAGATGAATTCTAATTATAGATTTATCAAAACACAGGCATAGTCTGCTTTAGGATTAAGCCTACAGTACTTTCAGAAAAAAATATTAGTTTTATTAACATTTCAGGAGACTACATCTATTCTTTTTCATGAAAAGGTGAAGGGGATGGTTGAATACAGAATCTGTCACATAATACAAGCACAGTGCAAGCTGCATATTAAGGATCCCTTGCAAAAAGCCAAAAAGATTATTTAAAAACCAAAAGTTGGCTGGCTGCAGTGGCTCAGGCCTGTAATCCCAACCCTTTGGGAGGCCGAGGCAGGTGGATCACCTGAGGTCAGCAGTTGGAGACCAGCCTGACCAACATAGTGAAACCCCATCTCTACTAAAAATACAAAAATTAGCTGGGCGTGGTGGCGCATGCCTATTGTCCCAGTTATTTGGGAGGCTGACGCAGGAGAATTGCTTGAACCCAGGAGGTGGAGGTTGCAGTGAGCCGAGATTGCACCACTGCACTCCTGCCTGGGTGACAGAGTGAGACTCGTCTCAAAAAAAAAAAAAGTCTGCTTATATGCTCTTTCTTTCCCCCAGATTCCTACCCCACCCCTACTCCCAAAAACTCCAGCACCAAATTCTGAATACTACTCAGGTTCGAGCATCCTGTCCCTCCTCAGAGTCTGTTTGCTTTTGCATTTCATCTTGCTTCTCCTAATTTGCCAGTTCTCACTGCAGTCTCTCAGCAGCCAAGATGGTCACAGGGAATAAACACAACTCAAAATAAGCTTTAACTTCTTGGTTCTTAAAAACGCACAAAACTCCTTAACAAAATAGGGCCTACATTTCAAATTTTCTGATTTCTCCCATCTATCTTTCCCTCTTGTTATACCTTGGTAGGGTGAGGAAGGTTTATAAGGGTGAAGAAAGAAGAGGTGAGAAAGGTAAAGATAAAAGAAGAGAGTCTGGCTGGAATGACTCCGTGTCTGAAGGAGCAAGACACAGTGTTTGATCAGGTAGAACATGCCAATCAACTACAGGAACCCAGCCTTCCTCTCTCGTGTGAATAGAATCTTATTAGAAGATAGAAGGACATTTGAAGAGTATATTTTTAATCAAATATATCAAAATTTTATGACTCTGGTGACAAGACAAAAATTTAAAGCCTCTGATTGGTCAGGTACAGTAGTCCACATCTGTAATCCCGGCACTTGTGGGAGGCTGAGGCAGGAGGATTGCTTGAGCTCAGAAGATTGAAACCAGCCTGGGCAACACCTAGACCTCATCTCTACTAAAAATTTTTAAAAATTAGCAGGACATGGTGTCATGTGCCTGTATTCCCAGCTACTTGGGAGGCTGAAGTGGGAGAATTGCTTGAGCCCAGAAAGTCGAGGCTACAGTGAGCCATGATCGCACCACTGCATTCCAGCCTGGGCAACAGAGTGAGACCCTGTCTCAAAAAACAAACAAACAAACAAACAACCACCCACCTCTGATTACACTGAGTTCATGAGTGAATGTCCTTTACGTTCTCCCTTATTTTGTGCATTTTGATGGTTTTGTTATGATGCCATCTGCCTAAGACAGCTGCTGGGTTCAGTGCTACTTAAAGTGAATTTTTAGCATTTGTATGTACACCTATGGTGGCCCTAGGTATGTAGCCAATGTCTTGATTATGTCTCAGTGAGAAATGACCCAAAGAAGCAAAGTCCCTAAATGCTGAAAGCAGTGTCTAAATCCTATGCCAGTGTTGGCATTAGCTGGAAAGTCACCTCTCTGGGGACTAATCTTATCAGTGCTATATAAAATTTCTCTCAAAGACAGTTAGTTGTATATAAATCATGCTATTCAGTAATACATACCAGCAGTAAAAGATGGAAAGTGAATGCAAGCAGAAATTAACAGAATGTGAAAAATCACTTGGGAAAAAATTACCCAGGTTGGTCTATAACTGGAAAATTCTGCATACAAATCAAAGCTTTAAATGTATTTAATGAGCCCCTGAAATACTTTTCTTGCTTCCCTTAGTGGGTGAGAAGATTTCTGCTAGTGCAAAGCTGGCCCATCCCTGCCTCCAAAGCCTCATCCCCTCCCATCTTCCCAGATACCTTGTCTGCTAGGCGCTTCATCTTCAACCTTCTCTCCTCTGTTACAGATTCTATGGAGGTCTTTCCCCTTCCATGGATAAAATATCCATATTTCTGCGATCTCTGAAATATGGTAGCTTCTTTCCCAAACTCTTAGACCTTCTTTATTTCACATTCTGACTCCTCTTTGTTAACAATTAAACTTATCAAGCAGATGTTTGCTAATTTCAGCAATTAATCAGTGGCTGAGAAGTGATTTATTTGGTAAACTATTCTCCTTGATTTATCTGACACAAATCTCTCCTGGTCTTCCCCCTACATTTTTGAGTCTTTCTTCCCTGTCTCTACTTCTCTTAAATGTTGATATTTTCCATCTGCCCCTTCTTCTTATTTAACATATTATCACATGGACTTAGAGGTCCACTAACTATACACAGACCTGTATTGGTCCCAGACCTCTCTCATGAACTTTGTGTCTATATTGCAATTGCCTTCTGGACTTCTCCATCTAAATTTTCTGTAAGCATCTCAGATTTAGCATGTCCACAGCAGAACCCATCTTCTTTACCCATCCCCTTGTCAATATGCTTCTCTTTGAAAATTCCCTACATAAGCAAATAGCACAACTACTTCCTTGCCCAAGCCAAGCGGGGAGAAAAGATGATTTAAAATAATATTCAGATTAAAAGCTTTAGCTCTTATTTGTTTGAATAGAGTGCCATTAGACTTGGAAAGAATTTTGTACAACTCAGACAGCTTTAAGAGAATCATTATATACTTTCTTTGTTTCAACTTACTTATTCAATGTGAAAACAAAACAAAACCAAAGCAACCTTTAGTTTTTACATTATAGAACAAACCTAAAATGAATTTCTTTATTATTTCCTACACTTGGAATAACTTCCTTCCGATTGTTACCTATTTACTCACTGAATAGAATAATGATTCCCAGGTTAATGACTTAGCTTTTTCTTGTTGTTTTATTGTCCAATGTTTCCAAACAATTTTGTGAAAACTGTTTTGTACTAACTGTGAAGCATCAGTGTACTGCAGGCTTTTTATGTACAATTGATGTTTTGATACCCGGAAAACACAGATTCCTCAGTGACAGTGAGTGGTGTATTTAACCCCTGTAGGACACAGGTGACAACAGCACGGGACTAACTTAAATAAAGTGGAATGGCAGCCAGGCACAGTGGCTCACGCCTG